AGAAGTGAGAAATTTACTCTCTCAAAATAGTAGGATAAATGTTAAGCTGTGGAATGAGGAGTCACATAATAGAAAAGCAAAATACGACTTTAATCAACACTACCAACTAGTCGAGCAACTTCCTCTGCTTTAACAACCATCCATAAGCTGATGACGTTCAGTTTTATATTCTTACGCCCGACCCGACCCGTCCCAGGCTTCAGCCTCTGCAAACTCAATATGCCCCAATCTCAGCTCACCAGTGTCCCCACATCCACTCCTTCCTCCGCACTTCCTGCCTCGGTTACCATGGACATTGCTCTTCCCAGTGAGTGACTGGGATGACCTGTATTCCTCCTGTTTTTGTCCATCACAGTCATGGGCGTTCCCACTAATGCTTTCCCCCAGTTGCCACTATCTTAACCCAAATATTCATCATGTCTCAGCCAGACTAGCATGACAACCTCCTACATGGTCTCCCTGCCCACATCGAGCCAAAGTTCTTTCTCTAAAAGGCAAATATCCCAGGGTGTGCTGGCTCAGGTTTCGGGGCCTCTCTGTGTGCTATTCCTGCCCCATCTGCTTCCTCAGTCCGCAGAGTCCATGGGGGTAACTTGTCCTCCGCTCTGGGAAGTCTTCTCTCTCCTTTCTAGAGGGTTAACCTCTTTCTCTCCTTTGTCTCTCCATTCTTCCTTCCATTCAACCTCTGCCTCAGCTCCATCATACAGACTGGTATTTATTTGCATTTTCTCTCTCCCACTATGAGTCCCTTGCAAGCAAGAATCATGTGGATTATTCAACCTTGCATACCTAGTACTCAGCGAGGTATAAAGTAGGTACTCAATAAACACTGATTCAACTAAAACCAAAATCTGAGAGCTAAGAGAATACGTCATGGAGTCTGATTTAGTGAATGTTTACTAAAGTTTTAGGTCTGAATATTTTGTCCGTGTCATTCATAACAGGTGACTTTTCATTAGCAATAGCAAATAGGGTTTAAGTATCTGCATGCCAATGGTAAGGTGCTGTACAAAACAAAATTAGTTGATTGATATGTCTTATATTCACTGGAAAACAAAGAGTTAAGTAGAAAAGAGTTTGAGAAGAAAAGTGTGAGAATCCCATGGTAAGGCAGCCTCATGTGCATTCAAACTGGCAGGGAGCTTAGACACCAGAACATTCCTGTTTGCCAGACTGAAAGGGACTTTCATTACCAGTCCTCCGTAAGTGATACATTTTGATTGCGACATCCAATTTACCAGATTTTCTTCTCAGCCGATACGGAGCAGAACCTTCTTTAGAACCACAGAATGCTTTGGTCTCCCCCTCAGGACTGTAGCAGAAGCCTGGATGGTCTGTAAAGATAATCATGCTCATCAGTGAGGCGTTCTGTGAATTGTCTTTTGCAACTATAGACTGATGCTTTTTCATCAGATATGGATACAAGCCCCTCCCTTCCCCCAACAATGGTGTTAAATTATGTATCCCAGGGCTATTTGTTTACACAGGGTCCTTCAGGTGCGTGCTAGCAAGGTAATCACCTTCTGTGTTCTCTGTCCCTTGTCCCCTCCCCTTCCTGCCCTCCATTTTCACTCCCTAGCAGGAAGAGCTATAAATCAGCTCTACCCTTCCCAGAAAATTAGCTCTCTTCATGCCCCTGAGGAAGCTGTCCTCCACTGCAGTGACTCTTAATATTTTTCTAGACATTGCTCCTTTGAGCGTTTGGTGAAAGCTTTAGATTCTCTTACCAGAAAAGCAACTTTCATTTAATTTCATCAGTTTGTATCTTTCTACCCCACCTAATGGGTACAAAGACCTTGCATTAAGAAACTCTGGTCTAATCCAGAATATGTGCTGCAGCATATTCAATGATCATCTATACCCTGAAGCCTGAGGACAAACCATTTTAGGACACAGCCATGAAGTGGTCTTCCTTAAATAAGGGGTACAGCTCTTCCAGGGTGTCAAGTTGAGGGAGAGTTCTGATGATCACAAAAACCCTACACTTTTCCTCTGTCAGTAGCAGTTACCAAAATGAGGTCATTTGGTCCAATGGCCTGGTCTAACCTGCTCACACCCAGCCAAATCCAAACTCAGGGTTAGACAAATAAGAGCACTGTCTCAGGCTGGGCTGCTCAGGCCTGGGCCTGGGCGAGATGCATGTGGCATCTATTAGTGGCTTAAAATAATTCTGAGCACTCATAGAATCTCACTGGTTCCCAAGTGCTAGCCCAGAGCCTGGGAATAAGTAAATTATTTTGTTGAATGGAGCTAATCACAATAATAGCTGACATCTTCCTTTGCTTTCCCTAATTTGCATACACCCATCCACCATCTCTTCTTCAGAGTGCTTTTTTAAAAATAAATAAATAAACATCTTAAGAGCTGGCTGGTTAGCTCATTGAATGGAGCTAATCACAATAATAGCTGACATCTTCCTTTGCTTTCCCTAATTTGCATACATCCATCCACCATCTCTTCTTCAGAGTGCTTTTTTAAAAATAAATAAATAAACGTCTTAAGAGCTGGCTGGTTAGCTCGAATAAATAAATAAACATCTTAAGAGCTGGCTGGTTAGCTCACTTGGTTACAGCATAGTGTTTGTTACAGAGTCAAGGATTTGGATCCCCAGACTGTCCAGCCACCAAGAAAACAAACAAACAAAATCTTAAGGCAGTTTCCACTGAATAAAATGTGGGGATTTAGAGAACACAGCCTAGCCCTCCGGTAGGGAGAACCTTGCCTCGTTTCTCAGGTCTGCTGGATGTGAAACAGGGAACCACAGCTCCAGGGGCTGTGGTGATGCTCCTGTTTTTCCTTTGTGCACCTTTCTCTTCTGCCCTGCAGAGTTAACCAGGGGCTGGCTGGAGGGTAGGGGAATCAGTGTTTGCACATGAGAACTGATTCATGTAAGTAAGGTATTCTGAAAGGTTTAAGTAAAAGTAGAAGTGTTTTAAGTAAAAGTTTCTGGCAGACCTGGTTGTGAGTGTTTAAAGCCATTGTTTTCTCTTTTTATTCTATTTCATTGGAGAAATAACAAAGATGTGGTAAGTGCTGTTAAAAAAGGTCTTATCTAACAGGAAGGACTTCAACATGGTCATTCACTGCCTGCTTTTGTGAGCCTGGAAATACACTCACGTATGTGAGTGGGGTGATTTTAGAATTTCGTGTTGTACAGGAAAACCAGTAACTACCAAGTTATTGGGATCCTGGAAGATAATCGCCATAGATTTTTTAGGGGTTAGGATGAAGTGGCAAATGCATGGTGGGGCCTTCCTTGTTTTTTGGTGGAGGTGGAGGTGGGTGTGCACTGGGGGGAAGAGTTGACCCTGGAGGCACATCTGACATTTAGCTGATGTGGAAACCTAGCAGTGGCCAGCCAGTGGGTGACTCATGGATAAACCAGGGAGAATCAATGTAGAGACAAGTCAACGTATGAAGAAGGGATTATATGGTATGCTCTACTAGTTAAAACAATGACTAGAGAGCTGCTATTTTCTTACAGTTGGAATTTTCATAAACTTTAAGGTAGAAAATGTGACAGATAAAAGCAGACAATTTCAGATTGTGTTAAGGAAATGACACTTACGAATGGCGTCCATTTCAAGTATTGCTTGCTTGGCCTGAAAGAGAGAAAGTGTAGCTATAATTGCATTGCTTTTCCCTTCCTTAAACTACCAGTCCTAACTACCAGATCTTATCCCACCTGAATAAATGGATTTTGAAAGCTTAAAAAAACTCAGTATGTTTTTAGGCAATAACACATAGTTCAGCGGATTCAAACAGGTTAGTGCCCCCATGCAGGTAAAAGATGCTGCATGATTGATGCACCAGAGCTGAGACCGCAGGAAGGGATGCAGGGAGGGAGGTTGGTCTGGCTAATCATCAGCAAACATTGGGCAGCTTATTAAAAAAATGCAGATTCCCACTACCCAACCCTGATCTACTGAACCAAAAGGTCAAGGCATAGATCCCGGCATCTATACCACCAGCTCTCACCAGATCATTGTGAGAGCCTTATAACTATTTCGAGTTGATTACAAACAGTTACTGGAAGTTTCCTCTAACTGCTTTCCTTCTTCCAAATACCATGTGATTAACATTAGCTAACTCGCCCTGTTCTCTGCAGCCCCCATGCACCTCCTACCTCTTCTCTGTGTCCCGAGTCCCCCACAGGGGCAGAAAGAGCTGCAGCGTGGGGCAAGGGCTCTAAGGACATGGTTTGTGATCCCAGCTCTGGCACGTAACTGGGTGGGTCCTCTGAATGCACTTCTTCAGCTGTAGGATGGGATACTAGGACCTTCCTTTCAGAGTCATTGTTAGGATTGAATGACAGACACTCAACCAGTTAGTCCCCGTCCACCCTCTTAGGGTGCCTGATGAAACCTGACTTTTCTTTCTCTTCACACACTTAGCAAATCCCCACTCCAACCCCCATCTTCTGAAGTTTAAGGCTTTGGGGTTTCTTTTCATTGTTATTGTTGCCATATGTTATCAATGTTTAGAGGAATACAAAAAGATAAGTTAATTACCCTAACATAAGTCATTTTGCCAGAGGATTCAAAGAAGAAAAAAAATAGTTTAGGTAGCCTTTCTTGCCTCTTTAATGTCATTTCTGTTTTTCAGGGGGTGTATAACTTAACCTACCAACACTATGCTAAAAATAACTTTACTCATATTTTGCTGTAATTTGTGATATCACAGTAAAAAATATTTAGGCTAAGTGGCAATCATATTTAGTTAAAAAGGGGAGGAGGCTGGAGACATTAAACTTAATTTTGAGAAAACAAATGCTTAGATTTTTGTATCACTGATATTTCTGACATACATTTAGAGTTTGAGATTGCTAGCTGCAATTAATTTCAAACACAAATGCTAGCTCAATTTCTGGGAAGTGCGTTTACAGAATCATGTTAATACATAAAATGCAAACGCACCTACCTTCATCTTTACTCTCAATTAATTTGGATAAGAGTTCAGCTTACATACCATATACATGAATGAGCAATATGGCTATTTCCAAGAAGTTCCCTGGTATCTGTAAACCTGACTTGAAGAACGCTTGTGTTTTTTCCTGTCTTGACATTCAATTTCAAAAAAATATTCCTGGGGCCGGCCCGGTGGCGCACTGGATAGTGCGCTGCTTGGGAAGCGCGGCGGCGCTCCTGCCCGAGGGTTCGGATCCCACATACAGACCGGTTCCCACTCACTGGCTGAGCGAGGCGCGGGAGCGGCACCGAGGGTTGCGATCCCGTTGCCGGTCCCCGGTCCGGTGCGGGGGCAACACTGAGGGTTGCAATCCGTTGCCGGACACGGAAAAAGACAAAAAGACAAAAAAACAAAAAAAAAATATTCCTGAGTTGTCCACTAGGTGTCAGCTAAGGACCATCATTGAATTAAAGGACTGGGAGGCCCCAAACTAATGAATTTCCAACAGCTGTGTTGACATTAGACCAGTGGTACATTTTTTTGAGGTTTAAAATTTTCTTTTATTTCATAGAAATAAATATATTTTGAAAGCTTTAAGAAAATAATTTAACAGTCTTGAGGAAAGATGTGAAAAGTTCAACTTAATAATAATCCTGTTTAAATAAAACAGAAAATTATTATAACATCGTACTAGACACAGTATATTAAATATGTGGGTTTTCATTGCCAGTGGAAACAATATAGTTTAGATGCTCTTTGGAGCCAGACAGACCTGGGAGCCAAGATCTGAATTGGGCTTGGTCATGAACTAGTTATATAAACTTGGGCAACTCACTTAACCTCTCTGAGGCTCTGTTTTTATTTTGCTAAAATGGAGAGAACAAGACCTATCTCATAAGCTGTTTTGCTGAGGGTGAAATAAGAGTTTAATGTATTTAGCATGTGCTCAATAAGTTGGAGCTGAAAAAATAATTTTTAGATTTTAAAAGGATCAGCGACTTGGACAAAAAGTACAATTCTATTTTGAGTATATTAACCATTTTAACACATAAAGAGAAAACTGCCTGGAGTAGTGCAGGAGAAAAAGGACAGGCATGTGAGCTGGTCTTGTTTTGTAATGGCCTGTGACTGGCTGTCGGAATCTCAGTAGGGATTTTAACCCTCCCAGGAGACGGGTAAACAAGCAAAGACAGTTTGCCACTGCCTGGCAGGGTATTCCAAGGCACAAGGCTGGCAACCAAGTGACTAATCATGAACAAAATGCAATCACCTCTCTGCACAAGCTCCCCTGCCTCTCATAACACCCCGATGAAATAAAACTCTTGCTTCAGTCAAAATAAACACCTGTGCACATTCATTTCCAGAGTATAAAGTCATCGCTGCCAGACCCTGAGAACAAGCTTCGAACACTTTTCAAAAGACAGAGAACAAAACAGACTGTTTTTTTTTTTTTTTGTCCTTTTTGAGACCGGCCGCACCGCGCTCAGCCAGTGAGCGCCCTGGCCATCCCTATTATAGGATCCGAACCCGCGGCGGGAGCGCTGCACTCTCCCGAGTGTGCCACGGGCTCGGCCCAGACTTGCTCCTTTCTCAGAATCTTAGCCTTCCTTACTTTGCACCCATTTCTACTCGTGATCATCACTCGCTGACCCTCTGTGGACCATTTCACCATCCAGGTGGGAAATCCACTCACCACCCTTACTTTAGTTCCCTGACCCCTTCATCTCAATAACCTTTTCCTCCTCTCTGCTCTAGGACAGCAGCATAGAGCCACAGCCACCCAGAACCTGATCACACCCACAACTGCCCTACCCCAAGGTAGGACTCTAAAATTCCCTTGTTCAAATGCAGATTTCTGTATTTCCATCTCTCCAAATTTAACTCCTTCTGAACCAGTTCTCTGACTTTACAAGCCCAGCAATCCTTCAACCCAGGCCTCGTTTCCTAGTTGGTTTCCCTCTCCACTCAGCCTGGAAATCACGCTCAGTCACTGCAGCTATGTTCTCATTAGCACCCTCTGTCCCCTGCCCTGGGAACCTCCCCCTCACCTGCTCTGCCACCCCCAACCTGGAGGGAGCCACGTGCACCTGGTTCTCAGCAGCAGTTTCCAATTTGCTGAGCAGCTTTTGGAGTGACGCCAGCACACTGCTTCATGGTGGCCAGAGTCAGTGGAGTCTTTGATGCCCTTCACATATTACTTTAGTCATCTCTAGTGACTAGCCCCTTTCCTCTGGCCATTGTTCAGAACCTTCCACTTGCCCTGGGGCTCCCAACTCCACCTGTGCTTCACTCACCCGCCCTCACCTACGTCAGCGAGATCAAATCTGTATCTCCTCTCACGTCCACCTCAACGTTTCTCTGTCACCTCTCACCTTTCTTCTCCCCGGCTCAGAGAAGATCTTTCTGACCCTTTGCAAGCCTAACCCCTATTCCTGTGCTTTTGCTCCTATTCCTCGTCCCAGCAAACGTCCCTCCGCTTGTCCTTACTGTCTCCCGCTCCCCTTTGCCCCCACAGAACCCTTGCCTTGATCTTGCCTCTCCCCAGACTACCACTTTTTTCTGTTCTGAACTTTGTAAAAAAAGAAAAAAAGAGTCTGCACCCTGCCTGTTCCTTCTCATTTCCCCCCTTCTCTTCTGGGATCTCACTGTGATCTCCCTCTCCCCTTAGCGGACAAATCTAAGATCTGCTTCTCCGTTTGAAGCCTTTGACTTCTGCAGCACTTGAGACCGTCTCTCAACCCCCTTTTTTGAGGTTCGTGCCTTCCTTTGTTGGCGCAGCACCCTGGCCCCCCTCCTGCCTCCTTGCCACTTTCTCTGGCTGCTCTCCAAGCCCCCCACCCTCCTGCAGACCACTTCGATGCTGGGAATCCCAAGGGTTCCTCTTTCCTTTATACACTTTTGTGGGCCATCCTGTCAAATCATAGGGCTTCAGTTATGTTTCTATGGAGACAGCCTCCTGATCTCTGGCTTCCAAGACCTGGATCGGGCAGCTCGCTCCTTCCTGTCCTCCCACCGCAGAGCCGGTCCCTCCCGTGTAGCCTGTCTGGGAACTCACAGCACTTGCTCCTGTCCAACTGCTGACTCATCCTGGACACTCGTGGGCAAAAATCCTGTTTCCTCTGCCTCAGTGACACGTTTTGTATTTGCCTGGTCTGTGCCTCGGTTCCGTGGCCAGTGCTCATATTTATTCCAGAGTATTCTGGTGGTTTACTGATTCTTTTCTTGCCTCCAATCTCACTCCTCCAGATTATGTGTCACACTGTCCCCAAAGTTACAAGCTCAGAACCCAGGGCAGATGATGCTATCTCCTTCCTCCAGAACCTTCAGTAGTTTCCCAGTAGCCGTACAATCCAGACTCCTAAGGTGTGTGCCCAGTGCCCTTCAGAGGCCGCTGACTGCCCTCCCATCCCGGGCCTCACCCCAACCCCAACTCCTGAGCGCTCGGCCGCTCCCGTCTAGGCACCATCTGTGTGTCCTGAACACAGCACTCCCACCTGCTCCTCTTTCTGTTTATGCTGTTCCCACAGCCCAGTTTTCCTTCCCCCCACTTAATACACATACTCCTCATCCTTCAAGACTGAGGTAAAGGGCATTTTCCTTTCTGGCCCCACTCAGCTGAACACTTTTATCCTTCCAGGACACCTGGCTGAAGCCCCTGTTATCGTATCATGTTTGGCACAGTTAATGGTCTCCGTGGCTGGCTCCATCGTCCATAAATGCCTCCACGGCCAAGTCCGTGTGCTGTTCGTCCAGTATCCCACACAACCCAGCACGGCTTCACCCACGGGGGGTGCTCGGCGCCTCTGCCTGTTTCTCACATGCTCTTTTCGATTAGTTCTCTAACAGTCTTTTTCCTATTTTTTCTTCTCTCAAGCCCAAAAAGGAAAAAACAATGACCATGACACCACCACCTCCACTGAGCCCGCCGTACATGTGAATCTTTTCCATATAAGTGGTTGGTTTAATTGAGCCCTATATCCTACTGCTTTGAATTTTCTTTATTTTGAGCATTTATTCCTGCCAGGCTGCCTTGCTAGGACATTGGTTCTTTTACGTTTTACTTCCTTGTCCTACCTTAGCTGGAATCTTTGCTGCATGATTCTCCAGGATGAGTCTCTTGAGGTGCAGAACCCAGAGGCGTTTGTCTTGCTGGGATTTGGCCTACCAGGAGGAGAACTGGACAGTGAGACGACTCACGCCTCCGCCATGCTCAAGACACAGACATGCCCATAACCCTCCCATACGATGGGAAAAATGCACCATGTGGCCAGAAAGCTCTGGAAAGGCTGCCTTGCAAGAGGGGACTCAGGGAAGAGGCGAGGACACTGCTGTTACCTGAACTGTGTGCTGCAGCTTGGGATTCTTATAGTGGAAGACACTAAAGCTGAGCGGCTCCTTTGGGATCACTTCCACGAGCATGAGGTTGCCACACTGGAGCAGAGACAGCATAGAGCGGGCGAGGCACACTCAGAAGAGAATGGAACACGCGACCCACGTCCTTGCCCGCCACCAGCATGCAGACCTACCAGGATGTGTGCTTTGTATGTAAACGTGTCGTCTCTCTTCTTTGTGATGAGAAGCAGCTTGTCAAAGAGGAAGAGCGTCCGCTCATTCTTAGCCCGCTGGATGCGGAAGGTTCCTTCGAGGACCAGTTCCCCGTAGCTGGTCAGGTCTGGCCCCTTCCAGTTCGTGAGCAAACTCTGTATCTCCTGCAAAAGGGAATATCCCATGGGATTAAACAGCAGGTGGAAAGCAAGGCATGGAGGACTCCGTGGCCCACCTGATGAGCCTCAAGAATGGTGCCTAATGGTCTATGGCAGGGTCTCATGACCTGCGTGGTTTCTACCGGTGTCCAGTGGGCTATGACATAAATCTGCAATTATGGGTGGTGTCACTCAAGGGTTAACAGAAATGAATCATGTTGTTAGCTGATGAGTCGCCAGTCACTCGCTTCCATTCCTCAACAATCCCAGTGCTGTGGCTGGTAGCAGCAGTTACAGTTTTCAAAAGCTAGGTACAGGGGTGACCTGGAAGGAAATTTGTTGGGAAAATAGAATGGTTTGGTCAGGGCCACAGCCTCGGGTCTGGTTGGGTGTGGTTCAGCAGCCTTTGTAAGCAAACTGTGTGTGTGTGTGTGTGTGTGTGTGTGTGGAGTTAGTGCGCATGTGCGACAATGTATCTTTTTAGTTTTGTTGCTGTTCTTGTGTTTTTCAGAAAGGACAGGGGAGAGGTAGG